CTTTGAATTACTCTTAAAACCCGGCAGGTTAGGTGGATTGGCCATGCTAAATTGCCCGTAGCATCCAGGGATGTCTATATTAGTTGGATTATCCATAGGAAATGCAGGGTTACAGGGATCGGGTAATAGGGTGGTCTAGGTGGGATGCTCTTCTGAGGATCAGTGTGGGCTTGATGGGCCAAATGGCCTGCTTCCAAACTGTAGGGGTTCTATGATTCTAACTCTTTGATCAAGTTTTTGATCACCTGCCCTAACATGTCCTTATGCAACTCACTGTTAATTTCCAGTTTTACTAATGCCTTGGAACTATTATTAAACTAAAGATGCTCCATAAATCATATAACGCCAAATAAATGTTTCAAAATCAAAACCCTTGGCTTGCTGACTTTATTATCAGAGAGTTTCACACCCAGAGATCCAATGTAATGCAATCTGAGTATACAATTCACAAGACAGATATTTCAGAAACCCCTTCCCCTCCCCCTTTTCTGATGAAGGGTCTAGGCCCGAAACGTCAGCCTTTCTGCTCCTATGATGCTGCTTGGCCTGCTGTGTTCATCCAGCCCTGCACCTTGTTGTCTCTTCCCCTCCTTTGTGGCTGGTTTAACAATATAATTGAATCAGGTTCTGTGTCATGGCAGTTTTATGCTGTTTATTTTGCAAGATGGTCACAGTGGCAACCCACTGGCCTCCAGCAAAAACAAAAGGCCAATTATAGTTCAAGAAGACTTTGAGATGGTATGATAAATAGCACACTATTAAATAGACAGAGAGACGTGGTCGTGAATAAGCAATGAGAAACATTTAAAAATAAAAATCAAAATACTCCATAACGATACATTCCTTTCAAAAAATGTACGAAAGGAAAATTCATCCATGGCTTCATAATTTGGTTAGGGATAGTATCGGATCAAAGGGAGAGGCTCATAATGTTGCAAAGATAATGGTAAATTTCAGGATTGAGTGCACTTTAGAAACAGCCACCAGAAAGTGGATGAAATTTTAAAAATTGGACTTGAGAGTAAACTAATCATGAATATAAAAACAGACTGTAAGAGGTTTCACAAGGAACAAAATGTGGAGTGTAGCTGAACATCCCTCAGAGGCAGAGCCAAGAGAAATTAATGCAGCCAATGAGGAAATGGCAAAGAAAATGGGTGTAATTTACTTCAGCTTGTCATGGTAGAAAAATTGTAGCAGGACCCACTTAATAGTTGAAAAGGCTACACATTGGTCTTCTAGTGCCAGTGAAATCTCTCATGGTTAAGTTGAAGGTGAGAAGCATCTGATGTTTGAAACCTGTCGTGCAATGTCAATCAGGCTTATTAAGGGACCAATTAGGACCATTGCAATGCAGTGTCAGTTCTGTGATCAGATGTGAGTTGTGTGGTTCTCCCATGCATACCAAAGGTTTTTGAAGAGCAAGAAGAGATCTTATTGAAACACATATGATTATTAGTTATCAACTGGGGAGGAGGGAACAGCCTACTAGTATTATTGTTGGCTTGTTAATCCAGAGACCCAGATAATGTTCTGCAGGCATGGGTTCAAATCCTGCCATGACATTTGAATTCAATTTTTAAAAATCTGCAATTAAGAGTCCAATAATGGCCATGAATTGATTGTTGCTCATCAGGACAAAAACTTCACTTATGTCCTTTAGGGAAGGAAACTGCCATCTTCATCTGCTCTGGCCTACATGTGACTCCAGACCCTCAGCATGTGGTTGACTCTTAACTGCCCTCTGGGCAATTGGGCAATAAATGCTTGCTGAGCCAGCAACACCCTCATTCTGTGAATTAAAAAAAAGGAGTTTAACAGGTTAGATACTGGGAGATTATTTTTCCTGGCTAGATATCTGGAAATCAGAGGTACAGCCTGAACATGAAGTGACCCAAGAGGGAGAAATTTTATCATTCAAAATTTTGTGATGCCTTAGAATTCTCTTCCTCAGACCGTTGTGAATTCTTCATTATTGAATTTATTTAAGGCTGAGGAAAACAGACTTTTGATCTGCCAGGTATCAAGAAGTTTGAGGGCTGGGCTGAAAAGTAGAGTTTAAGCAAAAGATCAGCCATCAGTGATAGCATACAATAGTGGAGAAGGATCAATCAACTATTTCTTCATAGAATCCCTACAGTGTGGAAACAGGCCATTCAGCTCAGCAAGTCCACACCAACCATCCAAAGAGCATCCCACACAGACCCATTTGTAACTCTGCATTTCACATGGCCAGCACATCCCTGAACACTACAGGCAATTTAGTTTGGCATTTAGTCTCCTGCACAAAGATCACAAGACCAAGTGAAGGCAGGTTAATTCAGATGGTTTTGCTGTTCTTATTTCTAATACCACTCCTTCTGTAAGCTAAATGACATTGTAGGCTGTGAAATATAGAAGTTTTGAGATGACCTGGTGATAGAGAATGTAAAAAATAAATATTCAAGGCAAAATGTTTCTCTCAGATACCCTCACTAGGTGCCTGAATGTACGAGATTAGTGTTGAACTTGTAAGTAGATGAAGTTTCATAATTTTCATGGCAAGTTGCCATGATCAATATTGTGCACACTATTTGAAGAATCAAGGAATAGGGGAGGAATACAAAAATGTCACATCTTCGAAAAGGTAATAAAACACAATGGTGCTATTTTCCAAGACACATGGCCAAAATATGCACTCAAAAAAGCATTTCACATTAACTAACCTTACTCTGCAATCCTAATACAGTGCATTGTGGCTTTTAGTTGACAGCCCAAAGATCACAAGGCCAAGTGAAGCCAGGCTATTTCAGATGGCTGTTGAATTCTTCAATGGAGATACGCCTGGAGAATTTTGATACTGGTGCTTTGTGCAGGGTTTAAATAGTTTTCCTGACTTTAATGTGAAGCAGGCTCAAAGACCTACATTGGATAAAGGTCAGCAACATTCTTAAATTTTCCAAACCCACAACACCAACCATTTTAAAGGCAACAGATGCACAGGAACACATTATCTACAACTCCCCTCCAATTTGTGGGTCTGCTTACTGCACATGAAATGCAATGGTTCAAGGAGGCATCTTGCCATCATCTTCTCAAGGGCAACTAGGGATGGGTAAAAAATGCTGGCCCAGTTAACAACACCCACGTACCATGAAGGAATGCAGAAAAATTACAAGCATCCTAATTTGGTGTTGTATTGTTGTTCCTTCACTGTCTTTGTTTAAAAATCCTGTAGCTCCCTTCCCAACAGCACTGTGGCTGTCCTTACATCACATGGATTGCAGCTATTTCAAGATCCAGTGCATCATAAGCTTCTCAAAGGCAATTTCGATTGAGCAACAAGTGCTGGACTTGCCAACGACGCTCAAATCCATCGTAAAAATAAAGCTTCCTGCCCCTCTTCCCTTCCCTTTTCTACAAATACAGGACCACATTTCATTCCATCCCATTGTCATCCAAGTCACACACTCACCAATGTTGGAACTTTCAGTCCTCCACGCCACTTACACTTTCTGGTTATTCACCATGAAAAGCAATTTCTCTAACTACCTCACAAGATTGCCATTGGCAGACTTGCTTATTTTCACAGGAAAAGGTGACACATAATTTGAGATGGCAATCTGTCCCTGGAGAAAATGGCCAACCATATGCCTCTCCTTTAAAAAAAATGTTCTGGTTTTTACTGACAGGAGTCAAGGCTATGAAAGTGGCAATGCTGCTGATAGAACATAGAACATAGAACAGTACAGTACAGCACAGGCCCTTCGGCCCACGATGTTGTGCCAAACTTTTACCCTAATCCAAAAGTCTATCTAACCTCCACCCCTACTTTATACTATCATCCATATGCCTATCTAATAGCTGCTTAAATGCCCCTAATGAGGCCGAGTCCACTACCCTCTCTGGCAATGCATCCCACGCCCCTACCACTCTCTGAGTAAACAACCTACCTCTGACGTCTCCCCTATATCTACCTCCACTCACTTTAAAACTATGCCCCCTCGTAATAGCTACCTCCACCCTAGGAAAAAGTCTCTGGCTGTCTACTCTATCTATACCTTGTTAAGACAGTACTCAGTGTTTCTTCATAACTTGTCTTCTTTTTCCAGTACGCCTTTTCTCCCATCCTGCACACTCAACATGGCAATTTGTAAATGCTGTCAGCAGCCACGTTTTTCTTCACAAAGAACTAACTCTTACTCCTTTCTTTTATTTTAGGTTCTGCAATGAGGCCATCCCTCTACCAGTTGAGAATCAGGTGGACAGTCTTTGTACTGCATCATCAACACATATTCTGGCTTTTGTAAGCACCAGTTCAAATATTAGCACCAGTTTGTTTCAGAGGCTTGATTAGAGCAGGGGTCTTCAAATGGTGAACCACTAACCACAAGTACATAGTGTTGTGGTACTGTGTTTGCCTTCTCAAACTTATCAGTCTCACACCAGGGTTGATAATCTGGATGAAGGTTTTAAAGATGTGTTACAAGATTGCTTAGCAGTCAGATTTGTCACTGAGGTCCAGCGACTATTATTACAGGAGAGCACAGCTATACTCCCTCACAGCGATTAGTGAGAGCTAGACTATGAAATGGTATGTTACTTCTTAAACTGATGTCATACCTTTTGTAATTATTCCAAGTCAACATTGTAAGTATTAAAAATAAAATTACATATATAATCAGGGAGTTGCTAAAGCTATTTAGACAACAGTAAGTCTCTGTTTAAGAGTTTAAGAATTAACAAATTTAGGAGTTCATAATACATGGGTGGTTTACGAATCCTCTTGGATCTCATGATCAGACTTTTCTGGGAACTTATTGCTTGGGTGTTCTTTGCTTGTAAGTTGTGCTGTCTTGCACAATGTAAGAGGACTGCTTGTTTTCATGATAAAACTTATCATTCTGAGTTCATCTTTGTGTGCTTTATTTGGTGACTGGAAGTACTATACAATTCCTTATGTTGGTTTCTGTTCATTCCTGGGAGGAGTATGTAATGAATTGGTATCATTGTGAAGCAGATTGGAAGGAGTGTGCAGCAATTCAGCATTGCTGTGAAGCAGACTAAGAAAGTGAGAGGAGGAGACTGTGCATCTGAAACAGTGTGAGAGAGAACAGGGACAGCAGCGTCACATGGACCATGTGAGAGTGGGAACAGCAGCTTCATAAAGAACATGAGACAGCGTTGAGTCAACAGTGTCACAAATATAGTGTGAGCTCGAATCAGTACCTTTGTAAAGAGAAGAGCTGACTTGCATGAGAAGGGCATTAATGGTGGGAGATAGAAACTGGCAGCAAAAAAGCCCCTTTAACTTATTTCTTCTTGGAAGAACCAAAGTGTAACATCAGAGGAAAAGAGGTGATGATTGGTGAGTATTTAGTCCATGTCTTTTGATTGGCCAATTGGTTTAAATCTGGAGACAATCTTACCAGGTGAAGAGCACAGTTAAGAAATTAATCTTTAAAATATTTAACAGCTAAATTAATTAATTTATGGAACAGAGATGGTTGGGCAGGTGGTGTGTTACAGCTGTAGTATGTGGGGACCTGTGGATGCCGGTGGCCACATTTGCAGCACATATTGGCAGCTTGAGGAATTTTGGCTTAGATCTGATGAACTACAGTCTGAGCTACACATCAGGGAGGGGGGAGATATACCCATGTTTCAGGCGTTATTTACCGCAACTTGATTACATCAAATTTGGAACATGGTTAAAGACAGAAGGGTGTGACTGTGAGTGAGGCAGTTTTGGGGATTCAGAACAAAAACTGGAATTGCCAGAGAAAACCAACTGATCTGGCAGCATCTGTGGAGAGAGAAAGACAGAGCTAATTTTTCCAGTCCAGTGACCCTTCTTCAGAATGGGAAGAGTGACCAATGGATGCAGGATCTTAAATGTTTTTATTGCAGAGGCAGATTATTGATTACTGAGGGGATGAAAATTTATAGGGGATATGCAGGAATGTGGAATTGATGTTAAAATCAAATTAGTCATGATTCATGGTGCACTTTGATGACATAATCCCTGATGCACTTTGGAAGAAGAAACAAGATGAGGAAGTATTTAATGAATGACAGGACACTGGATAGCTTAGAGAACAGATGGATCTTGGGGCAATTATTCACAGATCTCTGAAGGTGGCAGAGCACGTGAATAGGATAGTTAAGAAGGCATATGAGACACTTGCTTTCATCAGTCGTGGCACAGAGTATAAGAGCAAGGAGGTAACATTGAAGTTGTACAGAGCAGATTAGAAGGAGTCAGGCCACTGCAGGAGAACTGTGTGCAGTTTTGGTGACCTCATTAAGGAAGGATGTGATACCACCAGAGGGGGTACAGAGGAGGTTCACCAGGATGTTGCCCGGATGGAGAAATTGAGCTCCTAGGAGACACTAGATAGGCTTGGATTGTTTTCTTTAGAGCAGAGAAGACTGAGGGGGATATGTGTAACAATGATGTGGCACAGTGCAGTATAGCAAGATGTCAACACCCTTTTCTGAGGATTACTGAGCACCACGGCCAGCTACCTGGCTTTGTGACTGTACCCAAGCAACACTGCAAGGCAAGACAATGCAAGGTGTGCTGTCGGCATGCTGGTAGGTGCCAGGTAAATGCACACTAAGGCAGAAAGGGAGCAGCTGTAGTACGCCTGCTGGTCCACAACATGGGCTGGGAGAATGTCCCTGTCCAGTAAATGTATCCATGCAGCTATACATTGCTGGTTGCCAATATACCCTGTGATGCCACGTTGTGATTCCAATGCACATTACCAATGCATTGGAGAGGTGCCAGGATGGTGGAAATGATTTGCTGAATTTCGGATGCCAATGTCCCTAGTGTGTACAGTTGGTACTAGTGGATTGTACCCTGGCAATGGGCATGTCAGCAATGTGGGTGAGATGTGTGGCAGAATTGGGCCACGAGAGGGTGACATCCAACTCAATGTCGAGATCATCTTGTTTCACTTTTTATGCTTTTCACAAGCTGTGCGTTGAGATTCTCACTCGGTAGCGTGGAGATGCCAATTGATGGCTATTAACATTCGGTAACCACCTTGTTAATGCCCCAACTAACCTAATTAATATTCTCCTTCTGGTCTTATTAACCTCACCAAAAAAATAGGCATTTTCGGTATGGAGAACCTGGCAGGCATTCAGAGCATGTGGCGAGCTGAATTTGGTACCTGCTCTCATTGCCATGTCACATATCCCCAAAGCTAACGTAACACTTCTGTTTAAGAAGGGAGGGAGGCAAAGATGGGAAATGATAAGCTGGTTAGCCTGACATCAGTAGATTATGGAGAACTTGGAAGTGCATGGTAAAATAGGCTGAGTCAGCGTGGCTTCATCAAAGGGAGGTCATGCCCGAAAAATCTGTTTGAATACTTTGAGGAAGTAACAAGCAAGTTAGAAAAGCCACTGGATGTGATTCATTTGGATTTTCAGATGGCCTTTGACAAGGTGCTGCACAGGAGGCTGCAGAACAAAATAAGAGCCCATGATGTTAGGGCTAAGGATGAAGCATTGGCTGACTGGCAGAAGGCAGAGTGTAAGGACAAAGGGGTCTTTCTCAGGATGTCAATAGGTGACTAGTGGAGTTCTGCAGAGGTCAGTGTTAGCACCACAACTATTCACGTTACACATTAATGATCTGGACAAAGGAACTGGAAGCACTGTTGCTAATTTTGCAGATGATACAAAGATAGCCGGAGGGACAGGTAGTTTTGAGGAAGTGGGGAGGCTGCATGGGACATGAACAGATAGGAGAGTGAGTAAAGAAGTGGCAGATGGAATACAATGTGGGCAAATGTGAAGTTATGCACTGTGGTAGGAAGAATAGAGGCATATATTATTTTTAAATGGGGAAAGGCTTCTGAAATCTAAAGTAAAAAGGGACTTAAGAGTCCTAGTTCAGGAATCTCTTGAGGTTAACATGTGGCAGTTAGGAAGGCAAATGCAATGTTAGCATTCATTTTGAGAGGGCTAGAGTACAACAGCAGAAATGTACTGCTAAGGCTGTATAAGGCTTGGGTCAGACTGCGGTTGGAATATTGTGAGCTGTTTTGGACCTTGTATTTAAGGAAGGATGTTTTAGCATTGTAAGGGATCCTGAGGACATTTATAAGAATGATCCTGGGAATGAGGGCTTGTCATGTGAGGAGCGGTTAAGGACTCTGGGTCTGTACTCAATGGAGTTTAGAAAGATGAGGGAGGATCAGATTGAAATTTACAGAATGCTGAGAGGCCGGGATAGAGTGGACATGGAGAAGATATTTCCAACTGCGGGACAGACTAGCATCCAAGGGCACACCCCTCAAAGTGAAGGGACATTCCTTTTGAACTAAGATGAGGAAGAATTTCTTCAGCCAGAGGGTGGTGACTCTGTGGAACACATTGCCATAGAAGGCTATGGAGGCCAGATCATTAAGTGTAATCAAGACAAAGATAAACAGGTTTTTGATGAGTAAGGAGATCAAAAGTAATGGGGAGAAGGCAACAGAATACGTTTGAGAAACATATGAGCAATGATTGAGTGACAGAGCAGACCCGCTGGGTCAAATGGCCTAATTCTACTCCTATATCCTATGGTCTTATGGTCTAACGTTTGGAGAAAGACTCTTTAGGATAATATCCTGAAGATAGCGATTTCTTGAGATCTCTCTGCCATGGGAACGGATCAATATGTTTTGCTTGGTGTCCAACTTGGACAAATAGTTAGATCCTGTTCTTTTTGTCTAGCATTGGAATTTTCCATGTGCGTCTGTTTAGAGCAAAATTTAAATGCTTTAGGTCCAAGCCTACACAGATTGTGAGATAACAACGTGTAGAGCTGGATGAACACAGCAGGCCAAGCAGCATCAGAGGAGCAGGAAGGCTGACGTTTCGGGCTGAGACCCTTCTTCAGAAATGGGGGAGGGGAAGGGGGTTCTGAAATAAATAGGGAGAGAGGGGGAGGCAGATAGAAGATGGATAGAGGAGAAGATAGGTGGAGAGGAAACAGACCGGTCAAAGAGGCGGGGATGGAGCCAGTAAAGGTGAGTGTAGGTGGGGAGGTAGGGAGGAGATAGGTCAGTCCAGGGAGGACGGACAGGTCAAGGGGGCGGGATGAGGTTAGTAGTTAGGAGATGGGGTTGGGACTTGAGGTGGGAGGAGGGGATAGGTGGGAGGAAGGACAGGTTAGGGAGGCGGGGATGAGCTGGGCTGGTTTTGGGATGCGGTAGTGGGAGGGGAGATTTTGAAGCTTGTGAAGTCCACATTGATACCATTGGGCTGCAGGGTTCCCAAGCGGAATATGAGTTGCTGTTCCTGCAACCTTCGGGTAGCATCATTGTGGCACTGCAGGAGGCCCAGGATGGACATGTCGTCTGCGGAATGGGAGTGGGAGTTGAAATGGTTCGCAACTGGGAGGTGCAGTTGTTTAGTGCGAATCGAACGTAGGTGTTCTGCAAAGCTGTCCCCAAGATTCCGCTTGGTTTCCCCAATGTAGAGAAGGCCACAACGGGAACAGCGGATGCAGTATACCACATTAGCAGATGTACAGGTGAACATCTGCTTGATGTGGAAAGTCTTCTTGGGGCCTGGGATGGGGGTGAGGGGAGAGGTGCAGGGGCAGGTGTAGCACTTCCTGCAGTTACAGGGAAAAGTGCCGGGTGAGGTGGGGCTGGAGGGAAGTGTGGAGCTGACAAAGGAGTCATGGAGGGAGTGGTCCCTCCAGAAAGCAGATAAGGGTGGGGAGGGAAAAATGTCTTTGGTGGTGGGGTTGGATTGCAGATAGCGGAAGTGTCGGAGGATGATGCGTTGGATCTGGTGGTTGGTGGAGTGGTACGTGAGGACAAGGGGGATTCTGTTTTGGTTGTTATTGCGGGGAGGGGGTGTGAGGGATGAGTTGCGGGAAATGCGGGAGACATGGTCGAGGGTGTTCTCGAGCACTGAGGGAGGGAATTTGCGGTCCTTGAAAAACGAGGACATCTGAGATGTACGAGAGTGGAATGCCTCATCCTGCCCTCATCCTGACACCCTCATCCGCTTAGCCGAACTCGTCCTCACTCTCAACAACTTCTCTTTCAATTCCTCCCACATCCTACAGACAAAGGGGGTGGCCATGGGTACCCACATGGGCTCAAGCTATGCCTGCCTCTTTGTAGGTTACATGGAACAATCCCTCTCCCATACCTATACTGGCCCTAAACCCCACCTCTTCCTCCGTTACATTGATGACTGTATCGGCGCCACCTCGTGCTCCCACGAGGAGCTCGAACAGTTCATCCACTTCATCAACACCTTCGACCCCAACCTTAAGTTCACCTGGATCATCTCTAATACCTCTCTCTCCTTCCTGGACCTCTCTGTCTCCATCTCCAGCAACCACCTAGAAACCGATATCCGTTTCAAGCCCACCGACTCCCACAGCTACCTAGAATACACCTCCTCCCACCCACCTTCCTGCAAAAATGCCATCCCCTATTTCCAATTCCTTCACCTCCGCTGCATCTGCTCCCAGGATGAGACATCCACTCCCGTACATCTTAGATGTCCTTGTTTTTCAAGGACCGCAACGTCCCCCCCTCAGTGGTCGAGAACACCCTCCACTGTGTCTCCTGCATTTCCCGCAACTCATCCCTCACACCCCCTCCCTGCAATAACAACCAAAACAGAATCCCCCTCATCCTCACGTACCACTCCACCAATTTCCAGATCCAATGCATCATCCTCCAACATTTCCGCCATCTGCAATCCGACCCCACCACCAAAGACATCTTTCCCTCCCCACCCTTATCTGCTTTCCGGAGGGACCACTCTCTCCG